GACAGCTGGGCAACAGTCTAGCTTATTCAAGCAGTCGTATGTCAGGAGCTCGCTAACCTGGCCGTCCATGTTCTCCAGACCGCCAGAGGTATGCCGCAGCCCATGAACACTCCCGTCCATAACGCTGACTACCACTCTGCTCCACTTGTCGCTGCGGCAGCTTTGATTCCTCGGTTTCCTCCACGCTACCGAAATCCATCTGAGTGGCGCACGCACGATGATCGACCCATCTGCTTTTCTTGCTCTCGAGTTGGGCACATCTTCCGCCATTGCCGCAACAGGTGGTATTTCCGGCCAAGCTTTCCTAATGTCAACCACCGTCAGGACCGTGGACACTGTTCGCAAGACGGTATTCTGGATGACCATATTCAGGACCCTTCAGCTCGCCGTTCATTTCCACGCTCCAAACCGTCCTACGCTGACGTCGTCGCCCAAAGAAACTGGTATGGCCGCTCGCCGTCACCTCAAGATCAGCCGTCACGCTCCCCTCAACGCCGCCGCTCTCCGTCACCGGCTTATTCTGGCCATTTCTCGGGAAACTGACGAGTGCAGCTCCTAGAGGTGGAGCTGCGTTGACGACTTGAAACGAAAAACCTCAACCGGCTACAAATTCAAGACGCAATTTACTTCGGGTGTTTGTCGATGGCCACGCCGTTACTGCTCTAATTGACACTGGTGCCCAAGTAACTGTTATTAGTTCTACACTTCGATTTCGCCTGAAAAAGGTTCTCACACCGGCTATGTTCTCTACTGCTCGAGTTGCCAACAAAAGTCGAACATTGGTGCTTGGTACGAGCACTGGCCGCGTTACTGTTGCTAGCCACTACACTTTCGTTCTCTTCGCAGTCCTCAATGCTTGCCTACACGACGTCATCCTTGAAATTGACTTCTTACCGCCCACTCCACCCTCATCAAATGTTCTACTGGTATCTCACGGCTCGAATTGCCTTTGTGCTCCGATTTCACTCCTCCAAGTCACACTCGGCTACGATGCGTGGAGTCTCTACGGCTACCGCCCTAGGCTGCTGTGTACATTCCTCTGTCGCCCTTCCCGTCCTATCTGGTGGCTCCCCTCATTGATTTGTCCCTTACGCACCACATCGCACTACCACATACTATAATGGTTGTTGCTAGCAACACGGCCCTACTTCCACTACTGAACTTCTCTAGGTCGACCCAAGTTCTTCCTCAAAGCATCACTTTAGCTGATCTTTCCACCCTTGATGAATGTTCGATATGTTCTTTTACCTCTGACACTAAGACCATGGTGAAACCTATCATCACGTCGCAATATAAAACGTTCCTCGACAAAATGATATCCAACGACCTCTTACCTTCCCAAGTTGCAGCATTCTGGGGTGTTCTATTTTCTTACCTGGATATCTTTGACGTCGACGACCGTCCCCTGGGCCGCACAAGTGCTGTAGCCCATCGCATCGACACCGGCGACGCCAGTCCACTCCACAAACGCCCTTATCACGTGTCACATGCTGAGCGCCAAGTTATACAGATGGAGGTCGAGAAAATGTTGTTGCGCTGGTCTCCAACTGAATTCGTCGAAATGCTCATTTGGACGCCGGCAGATTAACCTACTCGACAGCCTTGTTGACGCCACTGGTGTTCAACCCGACCCTGACAAAGTCCGTGCAGTCCGAGAATTCCCGCTTCCGCGTTCCACACAACAAGTTAGCAGTTTTATTGAGCTCTGCTCATAATTCCGCCGCTTTGTCTTCAACTTCGCGGATATTGCTAGGCCCCTCATGAATCTCTTAAAAAAGATTGTGGCCTTTTCCAGGGGAAAGTATCAAGAACATTCCTTCGCGTCGCTAATTACCGCCCTAACATCACCACCTGTGTTGGTTCATTTTGATCCAGCGGCTCGAACAGAGCTTCGCACCGATGCAAGCGGCCATGGCATTGGTGCTATACTTGCTCAGATACAGAATGGCACCAACAGTGTGATAGCCTACGCTAGCCGCTTTTTGTCGCAAGCGGAACAAAATTATTCTATCACTGAGCGGGAATGCTTAGCCCTCGTTTGGGCTATGGCGAAATGCCATCCGTACTTATACAGACGTCTGTTCGCAGTCATCACGAACCATCATGCACTTTGGTGGCTGTCGACGCTTAAGGACCCTACAGGAAGACTCGGCCGATGGGCACTTCGATTACAGGAGTACACGTTCTCGGTTGTTTACAAATCTGGAAAGCTGCACAGCGATGCTGACTACTTATCCCGGCACCCCGTTGATCCACCTAGCTACACTGATTTGGAATCCCATGCTGCGTTTTAGCCATTACTGACTTTCTGAACGTGGCCGACGAACAGTGCCGAGATCCATCGCTGCTCACCATCATTGACCGCCTTCAATCGCGTTATTCTGACTCTTCTCTTAGCAGATACCTGCTTCAATACAACGATTTGTACCGCCGCAACTTACACCCCGACGGCGCGGAACTTTTACTCGTCGTACCGCATCACCTGCGAAAGGATATTCTGCGACAATTCCACGACGCTCCAACTTCTCGACATCTAGGAGTCTCTAAAACTTACGACCGCATTCGACGACGAGTATTCTGGAAGGGTCTCTACCACTCTGTTCACCGTTACGTCGCATCTTGCGACCTCTGCCAGCGCCGAAAAAAGCCTACGACTCCCCCTCGCGGTCTTTTTCAACCTATTGAAGTTCCAGCCGAGCCATTTTATCGAGTGGGGTTGGACTTGCTAGGTCCCTTTCCTACTTCTACAACTGGAAATAAATGAATTGCAGTGGCCACAGACTATGCCACTCGGTATGCAATCACTCGAGCACTACCAACCAGCTGCGCAACCGACGTTGCTGACGTCCTGCTGTACGACATTATTCTCCAGCATGTCGCTCCGTCTCACCTGCTCACATACCGTGGTCGCTACTTTCTGTCTCGTGTAGTTGATGATCTGCTCCAATGTTGTGCTACCCGTCACAACTTCACCACATCTTACCACCCTCAGACTAACGGCCTTACGGAGCACCTAAACCGCCCATTGACAGACATGCTTTCCATGTTATCTACCGACCACACTGATTGGGACATAGCTCTTCCGTTCGTAACCTTCACCTATAACCCGTCGCGTCATGAAACAGCGGGCTACTCCACTTTTTATCTACTCTTCGGACGTCATCCCTTATTGCCCTTCGACACACTGCTTTCATCAGACCACCCATTATCTACTTCTTACGCTCAGGATGCGATCACCCGTGCCCTCCCGGCACGTGCGGTAGCGCGCGCTTGGTTATCGCCGTCGCAGACAGCACAGAAGTCCCTTTATGACCATCGACATAGAGATGCCGTTTTTCCTGGCGGATCTTTTGTTCTCCTGTGGCTCCCATCTCGACGTGTTGGCCTCTACGAGAAACTACTATCGCTATACACTGGGCCCTACCAAGTCATTCGTCAGGTCACACCTGTGACCTACAAGATTGCCGCTACCTCAAACTCCTCAGCTGCTACACCCAGAACGGAAGTAGTCCACGTTTCTAGTCTCAAGCCCTACAACGCCGACTTGCTCATTTAACAGGTACCGAGACGGTGCCTTACGGGCCGGGGTGATGATACGTGTATGGAACTGTCGCCCTGACACAGCTGAGTTGGCACCCAAATGAAGAAGACGACAACGTGGTTGTTGTGGGCTGGACTCTCGAGTTTCTCCCGTTGGCCTGCATGACTGTACGCTCTTTAGGCCATTATTAAGACCAGCTCTCGGTGAATAAGTCTTCCCTGTCACAATATATATAACCACGTTCCTTACCACACATTCCCTTCTCTCATATGGATGAATACGGACGTAGGAAAGCACGACGTGCTGAATATCAGCGTCGCCGTCGACGGGAAGCTACCACGTAGACAAAAGAAAAGGGAGCGGATGCAAAGCGGCGACGGCGACAACAATGTATTACACCACAGACTAGGGCTAAGGAAGCAAAGGAAAGCTGGAAAAACGCCAAGCTGACGCGCAGTTGAGAAAACTTGAAGCGGATGCAAGGTGGCAATGCTGACAATAAAATTCTACACCTGAGACGATAGCTAATGAAGCTGTGATTATGAAGTCAAAACGTAACCCGGAACGCGGAACCTCATATCAGCTATAAAAAAAAATCACGCCTATATCTCAATCGGTCTCAGCACTATCTCTTTGAATAAAAATATACGTATCACAACCACAATCAGTCTCAGTACTATCTCAACTTTATTCAGAATAATCACCTCCGGAAGCTTCGCCCCATAATTATCTTCAAGAAGCTGAAATTCAGGGATTTTTCTCTAGCCCCTGCCGGCAAGCCTACACTATCTCCCGTACTCAAGAACGTACCTTCACTCAACGCTCTACCTTCACTGGAGAAAGCCGATGGGAGCGCCGTCTCTAGTCACGACAACTCACTGCACATCAGTGATAATCTGCTGCGATTCTTGAGTAACCCAGCGCCATTTTCAGCTGAGTGGTAGCGCAGTGCTCAACTCTGTCAAGTGAAGGGTGAAAGTTGAGCCGAGGAGCTTTTTTGAATACGGGGGTAAGTCAGTCTTGAGGATTTCCCTGCGGGCCCGCAAGCCCGTGATTCTCGCTTTATGACCTTTCTTGATGTAATAAGCACGTGTTTTCAGACGACCTGCCTCGACTGCCATCTCTTCCCTGTGTCGAACAGTCGACAAACCAGCCGCAGCTTCTTTGTGCGCGATGGCAGTTGAATACATCGCGTATCCTCCCGGTCGCTGTGCAGGGCAAGTGTTATGCAATCCTATCTCCATAACATCTAGCGGAAGTTTTCTTTCCGAGGCATGCATTTCACATATGTTGAAAAGTAAGAGACGTACCTAGAAAAAAAGTTATGTATTATATAGATGCGATGATTCATAAAATAGTTTTCATATACACTAGACACAATAGAGTTGTGGATTTTTAGCACGTAGCAGCAACAATTGTGTTTTCGTAGTAAAGTATTAAAAAAAACAAAGTATCTTACTTGCTCTTGATGCTTCGAACAACAGCAGAGAAAACACCAGTCCGGAAACTGCAACAAGAATTTTTGAGTTAGGAGACTATACTAATTCTTGAGAACAACCTTAAAACTCAACAGCACCTAGAAACGTTGACTTATGGAACTTATAGCTCAAACAGTAATATTATAAACGGTATGAAGGGATCAGAATATTAGAATGACGATTCTTTACATGTGAGCCTGAAAAATATTTTTTCATGCACCTAAGGTTACAGTGCCACAGATTGAATGGTTTTGGTGCAGTGTATTTTCACTTCTTAGTACAGTCTTCTTATCAGTAAACGTACAACTTTTTCATCTAACCAGAGGAAATGACCGCACATTGTCATCATGCACAAGATATGATCTGTCTACTCAGTAATAATGCCAGGAGTCTCATTAGTAGTCTTCCTGACGTTAAACACCTCATTATGATTGTCATCATCAGCCTGACTACTCTTACTGCACGGCAAAAGCCTCTGCCATGATCCACCAATCAACCTGATATGCCTCATGTGCCGTGTAAAACCTGCGAACGTCTCGATCGCATAAGCCCACCTAGCTTTCTCTCTCCCCCTCTTTCGTTCGATTTCTCTGAAAATTCAATCAATTATCCCCAATGACCTGCCTACGCACTAGGTTTCCGGCCCACGTTAATTTCCTCTTCTTGATATCAACTGTGAAATACTTAACCCTCTATTTCTCCCTGACTACCTCTGCTCTCTACTTGCATTTAAAGGGTACACTACTACCATTTTCTTTTCTATCACTCACTCCGTCGTCCTCAATTTCAACTGAACCCTCTTTTTAAACTTCCAGCTTTCTGCACCGTATGCAATTATTGACAAGGTGCATCTTTTGTACGATTTCCTCTACAGAGTGTGTGCTCGATTACGATTTATGTATTGAGAATGCTTGCCGACTGTGATCCCCCTATCCTTTTTTTTCTAGTTATTTCACTCTCATCGTTCGGCTCCGCGGTTACTACCTCTCCTAAGTGGACATATTTCTTTACCACTTCCAGCGTCTCGCCCCTGATCGCAAAGCGCTGTTTTCTGACGAGACTGTTGCATATAGTTTGAGTTTTATACATAACTTTCAAACCTACTCTTCTGCTTTCCGTGTGCAGCTCAGTAAACACAAGTGGTAATTCGTCCTCTGAGTTACTCGTCAAGTAACGTCGTCAGCATCACCAAATCGCAGGTTATTAGGATACTCTCCATAATTTCTTATCTCTAACTCTTCCCAATCTAGGGCCCTAAAATCCTCTTATACACACGCCGTGAAAAATATCGGAGAGTGTGTGTCTTCCTACCTTACAGAGTTCTTTAGTGAGACACTCTCGCTTTGTTTACGGAGAACTACAGTGGCCGTGGACCCGCTGCGGTTTTCTTCTAGCATGCTTACGTAAGGTTTGTCGATGCCCTGATTTCGTACAGGCTGCATCATTGCTGAGGTCTCCAATGAGGCTAACGCCTTCTCGTAGTCCATGAAAGCTATGCATAGGTGTTGGTTGAACTTTGTGCATTTTTCTATCATCTGATTGATAATATGAATTTGGTTCATTGTAAAAGTAGCCTGCTTAAAATTCTGCTTTGTCTTTTAGTTGATGGAACTATGGTGTCACCTTAATTTTGTTAGCTAATATTTTTTGTTAATGGTTTGTAGAGAGCGGAGTGTCTGCTGATTAGCCTGTATTTTTTATGTTCTTGACGTCTCTTTTTTGTGTATTAAAATTATGTCAGCGTTCTTGCAAAATCCACGTATCGTTCCCGTCAAGAGACACTTCGTATATAAGGTCACCAGTTTTTCTAACACAAGCTACACCGTCTTTCAGCAGGTTCATTGTTCTTTATCCTCGACAGCGGCTTTGCCTCTTTGCATTACTCTTAAAGTTTTCGTTACTTCTCCTGCTGTAACTGGCAGGTTCTCTAATTCCACTGGGCTTATAATGCTGTTTAGGATATCATTCTGGTTGTTTGGAATTCTCCACAGCTCTCTGTAGAACTCCTCAGCCACCTCAACTATCCTAACAATATTGGTTATGACATTGCCTTCTTTGTTCTTTATTGCATAAACCAATTTTTGCCTATGCACAAGTTTGCCTTCACAAATTAGGCTTCTGCCCTTTTTTACAGCCTGCTTGATTGTCTATGTCTTATACCTTCTCTTGTTGGCTACCTTACACTTACTGATTAACTTTAGAAGCTCCACTAGTTCTATTTTGTTGGTTGCACTTAAGCCATGAGGCTTTTGAGGTTTGTCGTCTCTTAATAACATTTTTGTCTCCTGCGATAGTCTTCCAGTGTTTTTTTTTGTGTCTCTACCTCCGACTTTCATTGCACACTCTTTGACTACAACAGTAAAATTGTCGTTCATTGTGCCAGCGCTAACATTGTTTACGTAATTTAGAGCTTGTGATGCGGGTTCTTGTTGCTGATTTGTTTCTCCTGGTTGAGCCCCGGAGAGTTTTTCTAATAAGGACAAAGCCGTTTGCTTAACAAACAACACCTGAACATTTACTGCAGAACTGAAGCAAAACTCAAACACAAACTACAAGAAATGAATAGCTGGCTAAAAGCGGGATTTAGAAGGAAAACAAACATCTAAAGTCCCGAAACTGCCGACGGAAAGTCACAGCTACATGATGCAGTTCTGACGCGGTGATTCGGCGGTGCAGGGAAGAGAGCAAGTTCGATCTCACCAAAACGTTGCTGCTGTAATGGTGGCGACGGCGTGTACCGATGCTCGCTGGCGGCGACGATGGAATGGGACTCGCTCGGTGATGCCTGTGGCGGCCCAGATTCGCCCGATGAGGTGGCTGGTTGCAAGGCTCAGGCCCGTGACCCGAACTGCCGTTGCTGCACCCGCACCGGAATCTGCAGGCCTTGGTCTCGACCGTTGAGGCAGCTCGCCGTCCTTGGAAGGCGTTGTCCGGAGGTCCAGACCGGGTGAAGTCCAGAAGGCTCAGGTCTGCCACCCGACTGCCTGTCTTCAGCTCCCAGCTGTGACCTTCCTCTTGCCTCGTTCACCTCGAACTCCTAGCTCTTTTGCCCTTCAGGATTGGCTTCCTCTCTCCGAGTAACTACCACTTTTTTCCGTATTGCTTTTAGATTCCACTTTTTCTCGGAAAATTAACAGGTTGACTTGCCTCTGAGCTTCTAAAAAGTTATCTGAGGCCTCGGCCATGTCCTCTAGCTTGTTGAAGTTCTTTTCTCGCAGGAAAAGTGCCAAACGGTGATGACAGTTTCTTAAGAACTGTTCTGTAACTATCAAGTTACGAAGAGCCGAATATTCTTTTCCGGTCCTCGACATTTCGACCCAACGATCGAAAAAACTCAGTAGCCTAGTTGCGTACTGCTTGCCTGTTTCGCCGTCCTGTGGCTTGCTTTGTCGGAACTTTTCCCGATACCCTTCGGCCGTAAAACGGAAACGCTGGAGCAACGCCAACTTGGCTTTATCATAATCGAGTGAATCCTCCGGCGAAAGTCTTCCAAACACCTTTAAGGCTTCTCCGCTCAAACATAAACTTAAAGCTGTGGCCCATTTGTCCCTAGGCCATTCTTGACCGATGGCGACTCTCTCGAACCTTTTTAAATAGGCGTCCAAGTCGTCCCGGCTTTCATTAAATCCCGGTATCAACTTATGAGGATTCACGCTGCATGAAACACTCCTTTCTTGTGCTGAGCCTGGTGCTGAGTCAACAGTTCTTGTCTCTACACGGCTATTCTCAGCTTCGGCAAGTCTAAGACGCAGTTGCAGGTTTTGGTTCTCTAATTCCAGCTGCTCCTTCTTTGCGCGTGTCTCCAGTTCGAGCTGTTTTTCTTTTTCGCGCGTCTCGAGCTCAAGCTGCTCCTTCTTGGCCTGCGTCTCCCGTTCCAACTGTTCCTTTCGAGCTTCTCGTTCCGCAGCCCGTTCCTCTCGTGCTCGTGCCTCCTTCTCCTCGTACCATGCTTTAAAATCCGCCCCATCAATTCCCATGCGATCCGCCAAGGCCATTAGCTCTCGCATATTCGACATGATGTCAACCGCGTCAATAAATGAAGGTGTCAAACCAACGGCTTTGTCCTGTCGCGGACGCCAATTTGTCACGAGGCCGTTTAACGGGCATGCACTCGTGTAGGTTCGTGTAAAGCAAAAACCACCGATGACATAACCATCATCGGGAAAAGAGCTGACGAGACCATTTGATTCCACCCTAATTCCCAACACTCAATATATTTAGAAACCCCTAAAAACAAATAGCAGACAAAGAACACAGCATACATAACTAGAAAGAGGTTAGCGAGAAGAACAAACGGCTAAAGACGTGAGCAGTGCATGGACATAAATGTTCAGTGTAAAATAAGCCTTGTCACAACATAGCGGGACGCGGTGCTTGCAGCGAAGGCTGTGCTACCAAGGAAGGCATGGACGCACTCACGTAAACGATGACAGTGGTGATGCGGGGCGCTTGCAACCGATGCGATCGAGTAATGGTGAAGACGCACTCGTGCAGCAGGGGAAAGACTGGTGATTAGCTTGAGACGCTCAAGAGGCTGACTTGCACGGAAGGAAGCGTCAGGCTGGTTGAAGTCAGTGACCTTCCGGCGTTCGGCAGCCGCAGCTCGCACACGAAGCCGGAGGCGTTTCTTGGCCAACGCCAGAAGACCAGAACGAGCCTGGCCCACGTCAGGTGACGAGAAGAAGCTCTGTGTCCAGGTGGGAGCCCGCTGGGACCTTGATGCAGGAACTCTGCTGGCCGCCACTCCCGCACCCTGGCCACCTTCTTCACTCGATCCCGACTCAGCCACGTCTGCCTATAGCTTCACTGTTCTTCTCCAGTGGCTCTCCTAAATCTCCGTGGAGAGATCTCATTGGACCAAAATGTTCACGCCCCCACGTGCCGCAACCGAGCGTTATCTTCATCTTCTTCTGGCTGATGGAGTGGCGCACTTTTTAAACGCGCCCAATCACATCACAGAGCTGGAAATATATTCTGGAACGTGACTCTAAATAATTGTTCTTCCCCTGTCACCGCTAGCTCATTATCT